GCTGTTGGTTACGAACTCGATTTGCCCACGGAATAAAATATGCCCCGCCTTCGAAATAACCAACGCTGTGTGTTGGACGCCATCACCACTACCACTCTCACGGTCATAACAACGACGGCGACGACAATGATAACAACGACAACAATTCTCCAATATATTTGTATGGCATGTTCATGCTATCTTATTTTTCTTATCTTGAATCCTTACAATTATTTTTTACTCCCGACTTTCTTTTAAGAATCTCCTTGATTAACTCTTGCTTAGTTTGTGCGGGCGCGAGTGAGCATGATATTCCTATGATATTCCATAAACATCGTTGACTGAACGCATTTTGCCGCATCGAGGCTGTGTGTTAGAACGGGTATTACTCTTACTGCATAAGCCATTGTTATCCTTGGGGTGTCCAGGGACAGACATGCGTGACGTCCACTACTCTCTGCCTTGTGTACCCGACGGTATGGGGAGAGAGTACGTAGTGGCGTCGGTAGTCTAAGTCTAGTGGTTAGGCTACCGGACTCGTAATCGTCAGATTGCAGGTTCGTGGGTGCGAGCCTCAGCTCAGTCCAACGTTGAGTCCTTGGGAAAGGCACTTTACACGATTTTTCAATTTGGCTCTGTTCTTAAGGAGATGGACGTTAAACTCGGAAGTCCAGCCTCTTAAATGACCTAACAGTGTTAATAGGGATGTTAAACCTATACCATTTTTCAGAGAGTAAGTAAGCATTGTTATCCTTGAATGAGCCCAGAATGACACTGTTCTCTGATTTTATCTTGGTTAATTTCGTTGACTCTGAACATGACTTTCCAATAATACTGTACTTTCAAAAGGATTTTTCAAAGCAATTCTGCTGAACACAGCCAGCTGTCCAGTCTAACTAGGTCACTGACCCACCTGGCGTTCACGAGCTATTTATGCGCCCAGAGACGAACGTGTGATGAGAAACGGAAGATTGAAGGTGCCATGAAACTGCCACGAGGAAATTCTAAATTGAATATAATTTGTCATAACGCCCCAGACTTCCCACACGGCCTGACTAGATTCTCTCGTTTATTGGGAGCTTTCACAAGTACAGCAGTCTCTGCAAATAACTCATGTGTCCCTTCATGAATTTATACCCCCACTATCTGTCGTTCGAGAGACAGTGATCCGTGTTATCCTGTCTTGTTGGACAAATCTAACTGTGGGTGGCTGGGTAGTGACTGGTCTGTTATATTGGCCCCCCGTCCCCTTAACGTTCAGTTTGTTTTCTGTCCGTCGTTGTGCCCGTTCTTAGAACCGAAAACTGTCATGGTGTCGTCCTTTTAAACGTGTGGGTCCGAACTCATGCCTCAGCTTATAATGATCTGATGCTTTTAACTAAATTCTCCCTTTTAAACACCAAAATGATCAATTAAGAGGAACGATTAATCCAAGCGGATGGAGAGCACTGAAAATCCACAATTTACCTTCGCACTAAAATGCCCTACTACTAGGGATTCGAAATAGGGTCACACTCGCCATCGTTCGGCGTAATATAAACTGAACAATCGGCACTCCCGTGAAGATGTTTATATCTCACAGTTTTCTGTGTGGGGGTCCTGACGGCAAAAGGGATCGTGACTCAAAATACAGCTGAACCCATACACGATTTGACTCATTTGACATACTAATCACAATGATTTGAAAACCCGAGCTAAGTGAATGCAAAGTCGACGGCAAAGTTCAAAATTCATTTAAAAAAACTTAATGAAATGCTACCTTAATAGTTAGACCTTTTTATTTAAAGTACCCTTACGTCCTTAATGTGCCGCGCATATCATCCTCCATCGTGCTGCCTTGATACATGTATCATGAATGTCTGATTATGTGTTGGCTGTAATCTAAAGAGCGTTTGAGTGCACTTACATTCTTGTGTGAATGGCTCCGTGATCATGTGATTGATGTAAAGCGCTCAGAGCTTATATTCGAATGAGATAGAGCGCTATATAAAAGCATAATAATAATAATAGAATAATAATAATAATAATAATAATAATAATAATAATAATAATAATAATAATAATTATTATTATTGTTATTATTATTACTTACATGCTCATGTCTTTCTGTGTTAAGATAACGGTATTGTAAAGCAACAAAAAGCTGTTGTATTGCATGGAAGTGGTGCTATAGAAAGTACCTGCATTATGATTGTTATTTTTACGACGCTGGAGCAATGAACAATGCTACACAGAGCTGATATTGAAGGGTCAGCTCTTAAAAGAGTTAAAATGTCAGCATTTAGAAAACCCACAACACCATTGCATTTGCAGCTAAATTGGCTCCCTGTTACAGCTCGCTTTAGATGGACACATTTGTAATTAACCCTCTACTTAAAGCGATTTCTCTTGTCTTGGCAGGGGTGGTTCAATTCACACTAGTATTTAAATATTTGATGTGCCCTTTTATTTGATCCCCAACCGACGCTGTGCATTACACTCTAAGCGACGGTGGTCATGCCCTATTAAATATGGTCCAATGAGCGACTTTAGACTTATAGTTTACTCAAAGAAACGTCGTTGTTTCCGCTCTTGATAATAATTAGTACCACTTATCAAAGGCAAATGGCTTATACAAATATGCATAGATCTACCAAGAAATATAGTGAAATATCTGGATGGCCAACATCAAAGTCAACCAACTATTCATACGGTCCAGTGCTGTAAACATAGCTTCTTTCTCTCTATCTTTGGACCCTTTCATAACTTATTACAGTTTATTTTTCTCACCCGGGAAATATACATGTACTCTTTAACTTATAATATAAACTTACCACTGTTATAAACTTTCTGCTATAGAGACCTTACATTGTGTGGTTTGGTATGTAACTTTAGTACCTATTTCGGGATACCCTCTTGAGTTTCGTTGCCACATCGCCATTAGCAGCATGCATTTGGTGCATTTTTATTCTTCAATGAGCAGAGCAACCAACCAGCCAACCAACCAAACAGGAAAATATTATTAATTACCAAAAAACCCATAACATGCAAACAAACAAAAACTAGAAAACATTAACCCCCCCTCCCTCGGGGGACACTCTGTTAGCTTAGTTGGTATTGTGCTGGACTACAGAGTGGATGGCCCAGGTTCAAATCCCAGACTGTGAGTTCTTGAAATCGGATCATTTTGAGGAGTTTTCAAGGCTCGCAACCCTCTTGGCTCGGTCCTGTCGGAGATGAACGTGCGTTAAACAAATAACGTTAAATAACTTAAGTGTTGATAGGGGTATTAAACCCATACACTTATATACACTTACACGATTCTCAACTCAAGACAAACCCCGCTGAATGAAATAAAATGTGGAAAAATACAATACTTTGGTCACTTAAAACGACAAGCCACAATTGTAAAAGAGGTGCTTGAAGGAAAGATGTGGGGCAGGAGAGCCAGGGGAAGACAAGAGTAACATGGATGGACAACATTAAAACATGGACTGGCCTGGGTAGTATAGCAGAATGTGCAACAGCAGCTCTCGACCGCGAAAGATGGAGGGTCAATACCCGAGAGTAAACTCTCTGGTCATTACACGTCAACCTCTGAGTCAGAGTTGACACCTCCAGGTACCAGGTACACTTACAAAAAAAAAAGGCCCTGACATTTCTTTACGATCATGTCTCTCCCCCCTCAGCCCCCCCCCCCCCCTCCCACCCCCCCTCCCCTTCCTCGCCTCCCTCTCCCCCCCCCCCTCATCTCACCACCTTCAGTCCACCCCCATCTCAACACCATCCCCCCCCCTCAGCCCTTTCCCCCATCCCACCCCCCCTCCTCAGGGTAGGGCTACTGACTGAAATGTCTTTAGGCCATTCCCCCCAAAAAGGGGTGGGGGTATTATAAATTAACGCGTTCTTAAGCACAGTGGAATCGTGAATGGGCTGTTTTATCAATGTTATGCTCATACTCTGCCGGAACAACACAGAGGCAACTGCTACTTTTTCTTTCCCCATCCTTATTGTCGTCATTTTTCTTCTATTTCCTTTGTATTTTTTGTCACTCTGTTGCGAACTACTATTTCCGGGGTGCATTGATAGTCGCCTGACATTTCTTCATCAACATGTGTCTCTCTCTCTCTCTCGCCCCCCTCCCCCCCGCCACCACCCCTGACATTTCTTCATCATCATGAATGTG